TCCTGTAAAATCGTGGGTCTGTTTCTTCACTCTGCAGGAACGTCTGTCACACCTCTTACTGCCTTTGTGGAGTGCATGCTATGTGGGTGTATGACTACTCCAGCAACTTGCTTCTCTGATAACTACAGCAGTTTGATGGTGACAGAAACTCAGAAACAGTAAACATAAGCTGCTTCAGGACCAGTAAAAATCAGCATATTTGGATGCACCCTTTAGCTCCATAACTTCCATGAACTTATGTTTAATAATCTCCTAAGCAGCTCTCACCTGCATCCTGTAATATATTCTCTCCTAAACGCAGTGTGAGTTGTTAATGTTGTTTTTTTTTCCTTCCCTTTTTAGTTTTATATTCTCTCCCCTTGTTATTTCCCTTATCATTATTATTAGTGGTAGTAGTAGTAGTTTTGTATTATACTTTAGTTACTGGACTGTTCTTATCTCAACCTGTGGGATCTACATTCTTTTGATTCTCCTCCCTATCCCTCTGGGATCAGGGTTGGGGGGAAGAAGAGGGGAGACTGAGCAAGCAGCTATGTTGTTCTGAGTTACTGGCTGGGCTTAAACCACAACAAGAAGGCTTCTGAAAGACAGAGTTGCTAGAATAAAAGAAAGGGCACACTTATGAAAATCCTTAATTTCCAGTTTTTAAAGTGGATTATTGGGAACACTAGAAAAAGAGGAAGTAAGGCTGGTAAAGACCACTTGGATCACCAAACCTAGTCTCACTATCTCAGACAAACTGAAATACAGACCTCATTGTCTTTCTTGAGCTTAGGTGACATAATTCCAAACAGAATCCTACTTAGCCTTGAACAATTACTTTAATGCTTCCCTGAACTCTTCTCAAAATATTTCACCTGGCTGAAGCAAGGATCCCTATTGCTTTTCACTAGCGGATCCCATACTGATTTCTGTTAGCAAATAGAGCAAACTATTACCAATTAAAAAGTAAACTGTCATTTGTGATATGTGGTTAATAAATATTCCATGTCAAAATGAAAATGGGGAGAGCTATACTGTTGCTCCTAGAAACAGCTCAAACCTTCAGAAATAATTAGAAAACCAAGCAAGACTTTTGGATTTAGAATACCACTAATCACAAATATTTCATCATATTGAGAACAAAAAAGAATCAAATGCAGATTTTCTCTTCTGTCTGTCTAGATTGGCATTTAATATAATTCAATACTCATTAAGCATTAAAAAAAAAAAAGGAGAGAGAAGCGATAGACATGTTGTAAGCCTCCTCTTTTACACACTTCTCTTCAGTGAGGGTTTTTCTCTTTCCCCTGGTTTAATGATCTGAATCAGCTTGGTAAACAATGAGTGTCATATCCACCATAAATGAGAAGCAGGATTGCAGAGGCAGGATAAGGGTAGGGAAGAAGTGGTGAGGAATGTAGATGAGCCAACTTTATCAGTGACAGCTGTGAGATCAGCCCTCTGGACCTAATCTAGCTGATTAGCAGCATCATGGAACTCATTGCTCAAGAGAAGGAAGGCTAGATGGAGTTGCTGTTTCAGAGTTTACATGACCTTCTTATCCTCAGTACAGTTAATTCTGCTTCAGGTGCCAGAAAGAAAAAGGTACAAGGACAGATAAGGTAGAGTGAGAGCAAAAGCATCTTTCCACATATGAGTATCAGTCATTTCACAAGCACGAAGGGGTGAAAAGTAAAGCCCAGCTGGTAAGATGTAATGGCTTGAATAGAATATTCCACTAGGAAGTCGCTGACTTCAGGCCAAAATGTGACTTCGTAGCTACTTATTCCATATTAGTAAGTGTTATATAGTATTTAATTTTAATAGCACATTTGAAAATTGCTTGGAAATTCCATCACCTTCATTCCAGCCCTACTGTTGACCCAGTGTAACTACACGGAAAAATCATCTCTACAGCTAACAAACCTAAACTTAACCCTTTTGTGAAGGACTTTTCCATTTCAGTCTTGTTTAAAAAAGATGTTGCTATTCATTACAAACAAAATGTAAACACTTACATATTTCTCACATACTCTTTTGAAAGCTTTGAAGAAACCGTAACATTTTTCTCAAAGTAGAAAAGGGAAAAATAAAAATTAGCAGTTAATAAAGTTTTCACCTAATTTTTAAAGGATAGTTTTAAACACTTTTTACAGCAAAATATATTTAATAAAAATAACTTCATAACCAATATTAACTAATATTTTCTTACTGAAACTTTTATCACTCTCCATCCTGAAGTATCTTAACTATGATTTAATTTTTTTTCTGAAACTTAATCTGTAATTTTCTTATAGTCCATTTATCTGTAAAGATTTAAGAGCAGTTTACTGGTATATGATAAAAGCATTCCTTAAAGAGCAAAGGATCCACTACCTCTCTGGGCAACCTGTTCCAGTATTTTACAACTGCATAGTAAAGAATTTCTTCTTTACATCCAACCTGAATCTCCCCTCTGTTAGTTTAAAACCATTACCTCTCATCCTATTGCAACAGGCCCTGTTCAAAAGTCTCTCTCTCTATCTTTCTTACAGGTCCCTTTTAAGAATTGAAAGGCCATAACAAGTTCTCCCTGGAGTCTTCTCCAGGCTGAATAACCCCAACTCTCTTAGCCTTTCCTCAGGAGGGGTGCTCCATCCCTCTGATAATTTCTGTGGCCCTTCTCTGGACCCTCTCCAACAGGTCCATGTCTTTCCTGTATTAAGAACTCCAGAGCTGTACACAGGACTCCAGGTAGAGTCTCACCAGAGCAGAACAGAGGGGCAGAATCACTTCCCTTGACCTGCTGGCTACGTTCCTTTGGATGCAGTCCAAGATACAATTGGCCTTCTGGGCTGCAAGCACACATTGCCTGCTCATGTCCAATCTTTCATCCACTTGTACCCCCAAGTCCTTCTTCTCTGGGGTACTCTCAATCCCTTCATCCCCCAGGCTGTATTGATACTGCAAGTTGCCCTGACCCAGGTGCTGGAGTCTGCACTGGGCCCTGTTGAACCTCATGAAGTTTGCATGGGCCCACCTCTCGAGCCTGTCCAAGTCCTTCTGGATAGCTTCCTGTCCCTCAGGCATTTCAACTTCACCACTCAGCTTCACGTCATCTGCAAACTTGCTGATGGCACACTCAATCCCACTATGTCACTGTTGAAGATATTAAAGCGTACTGGTCCCAGTCTGGACCCCTGAGGGAGGCCTGGTGTTCATCCAGACATTGAGCCATTGACCACTACCCTCTGGATGCAGCCATCCAGCCAATTCCTCATTGAGGTGCCTGAATAGGAATGAAAGACAATGGGTCAGATTATTTTAATAACAAATTTACTTGCCCCACAGAAGACTTGCTTTGTCTCTAACGGTGCAGAATTTTTCCTAGTGTTATTCTCCACTATCTAAAATAGAACTGGTGTTGTATTTAGTTTGGATTATAGCACAGCTTCAGTTCTTGATTTATGAGAAGTAGAAGAGAGTTTTGTGGTGGGGTGTGTATGTACATGTGTGTGGTGGCTTTTTTTTTCCCTCCCACACCCATCCTTGAGGAGGTTAGCTTCAGATTGTGATCTAAGTATTTTTCTTCCTCCCTTTACCTCTCATTAATTATGTCTCTCCATATTTCTAGATTAATTTAAATGAGTTTGAAATAGATTTGTCTTAATTAGCTTTTTTCCCCCAGAATTCAGTACATATTCTGTGGGGAAGTTATTGTCTCAAGGTGTTTTTAAGTTAAAAACAAACAAAAAACACTTTGGAAAAGAGAAGAAAAAAAATCTTCAGTAGTTTTCTGCAGAAAGAAAAATGCTCTGAGCTCAGTTAACCTTCTGGGTATCAGTAGTTGGGAGGATTCTGACACTTGTTTTTTTTCACTGGATAGAAATTTGTATTAGACCAAGGGACTGTTGACTTCACATGATGAGTATTTAGCCATTTTCACAACTATCTATACTGAGAGACTATCACAAAATGGTGTTGCAGTCTGAGTTTTACATAGCAGGTCTTGGTACTTAATTTTCTGCTGAGCTTTTAAGTCTGGGGGCATCACCATTGTCCCTTAAAGTGAAACAAACTGTAGAGCTTCTTGTTAATAAGGTGCTTATTAGCAATGACTTGCACACAGGGCATGCAGAGTAGTTAATAAGTTTACCAGAATCACCAGTGAGGTCGGTGAAAATACATATGGATTAAACGTGTATTTAGTGCAGGCAGCATGCACAATGCGTGTGATGGTGTTTGGGATGCTTGAGAATGAAGTAGAGATGAGGGGATAGAAAGTTCTGTGATGTCAGTATCAGTAGGCATACCACTTTCATAGGATAACTGAAAATTGGATATTTGCTGATGTTATTCAAATCATCAGCTGGGACTTTGGGGTAATAATTCCATATTTTCAAATTAAGATTATTTAAATAACTTCCCTACAACTGATTTCATTTGTTATGTTGGCATCTATATACACAATTGCAGCTTTGGACCTGTTTCATATTCTGTATCATCTTGCTTGCTGCTTGTTGCTTGTTGCTCAGTTATTTACCTGGCTTTGCTCACCGGTCTTAGTGACTGAATAAGAGATGTTATGGCCCCTCAAATCCTAGTTCTGCATGTCTCTTTAATGCCTTGCTCTTCGATAGTGGAGAAGGTTTGCTGTTGAGTCTAGGTTGGCCTTAGCTAGCAGTCAGTTTAAACCTTGCATGCAGTCCTTCATTTGTGCAGAGGGTTCCACACTTGGCCACAGCCTGACATACTTCTTATAATGAAATTTGGTTTAGCTGTCCTGCTAACCCAAGTTCCCAAGGTGTAGTGTATCCTAGCATCCAACAGCCTGACACAGAAATTAAATCCTGTGCAAAGGATGGTAGTGGATATGGGCAGGTATACCATCACTGATCAACACATCACTGAACATGCCACATGGAATAAAGATAATGGAAACTTTTTAGATATTTAACAAGGTATAAAGCCTGTTGAAATAAGTGAAGGTTGTATCCTTTTGTACAACAAAACATACTAAAGTGTTTTCTTCTTTTTAGTCCAAGTGGTAAGAAGTTCAGAAGCAAGCCTCAGTTGGCAAGATACTTGGGAAACACTGTTGATCTCAGCAGTTTTGACTTCAGAACGGGAAAGATGATGCCCAGTAAATTGCAGAAGAACAAACAGAGACTAAGGAATGATTCTCTCAATCAAAATAAGGTTTGTTAGTAAATACTCTGTTTAAGGATATCCTAAGAATTTATTTTCCTGTAGTTCATTTAGCAATTTCTTTTCTGCTTAAAGCAGTCTGCTTCTAAAATGTACATGTATGTTTAATTTTTAGTAGTGGTAGAGACATAAATTTATAAACAGAAGGAATACTCTGCTACTACCAAGAAAAAATATCAAGGTAAGGTTAAGTATGAGTCAAAAGTGTGAGTAATTCAGGAATTGGCTTGGGACTGAGAACCTCAGTGCTAGTCATCTACCTGAACTGTATTCTTAGAAATGGGAGAAGTTAGGACTCCAAGAGCTTCTCTTGTGCAAGGCTTCAAATTGCTATGTTCATCTTCCTGTTCTGAGATGAAATAGTTAACATTTTTATTTTTAATGCATGCAGTATGTGCCAGGAAGCTTGTTTTCTGAGGCAAATGCATCAATCTGTACAAATCTGGATGTCTGTGTACAGCTATGTAGTTTAACAAGGGCAAGCATTTTTCTGTTTAAGATTGAGGCTTTTGATTGATATTGATCTGATTGTGCTTATTGTCTGGTTTTTTTTGAACAACAGTGTATCTTTTTGAAAACTGAAGAAAATGTGTATGGTAGATTAAAAATAAAAGACCGAAGCATACAGAAGTGAAATAACTGTTGATGCATGACAAGTAAATTTAGCTGACTCTCAGATAGCATGTTCCTGGACTTTAGAAACCTCATACAACAGTTTGAAAGGATTTCTGTAACAACCTGCACTGTTTTCTTTTTAAAGTGTTTTATTCTTCAGGATTTCATAACTTACAGTAGAGTATTAAAATACCTAACGAGTTACAGCTATGCCTTGTGCACTGATGTTTTTTGCTGTCTGCCGTGTGTAATGCATGAACAACACATTTCATGCCGATTTCTTTTTATTTAAAGCATGTGTTCAAATTATTTAATATTTTCTTCCTACAGACATGAGGCTTTCAAATAATATAACATTTGGGGTTAGTCCAAGGAAAGGGTTTGGTTAGACTTTTTGCATGAGCAGAAATTACAAAATTTGGTATATAAAATCTATCTGAGTTTGCGCTCACTTTGTATTCCTATGATCTTAGATTACTTGGATGTTGCTCACAGTAGCTACAAGATTAGAAAGAAAAAGCTTTTTACGTAAATAATATGTATTATTTCTAAGTGACTGAATCTGCAACTCATGAGCTTTCAAGAATTTCTGCAGTATTCCTGTGATAGTTAAAAAGGAGAACTCAACTTATTCCTGAAGTTTATTGTTTTCTTCCACAGACACTGAGAGAGATTGGTTGTGGTTGCCTTCTAGTCCACCTTGCCAGCTGTGCTTCTGGGGTCCATAAAAGACAGACTTGCATAGGCAACTTTGTGTGTAAACTTGCTCATATTTTATGGGTTGTTTGTTTTTGTACAAACAATTTACTACAAATGTTTCTAAATTCTTTGGCTCCCCTTAGGTTTCAAGATGAAATGTCAAAATACACTTGAGTTTTCTTTTTCTGACATGTTGAGGCAGTTAGATTTATGCAGCTGCTGGATGGAAATGCTGTCTTGCCATACTTCTCATTTTTGAGATTCATATCTTTAGCAGGTTAGAACTCACTGTCAAGACTGACATAATAATGCCACCTGGCTTAAAATGGGACTGAGAATAATATACGCTAATGAATGCTCTCCATTTTGGGATGTTAATGTATAACAGTGTAAACAACAGGGAAATATTCTTCTAGAAAAATATTTTTCTCCGATCTTAGCATTGTGCATTCTTGCCAGTCTTTCATTATGGGCAATAAAAGTATATATTTGATAGGTTTATTTACAGTAGATCTGCAGGAGGAGTTTTGCTTCAGTCTTTACTAATCTTGCAATTGCTGTCTGTGTGGACATTTTTACATTTCACTTGCAAATTAAGTTCATTTATTTGAAGTGCTTTTGAAGAGACAATGAAATAAGGGATACAAATAAATACGAATCCAGTATATACATCACACTGCTATGCTTGTAAAAATATGCTTACCAATTTTTTATTTTGAAAAGAAAACATAATAGAGGGTACTGGCTAAACATGCTGTCTGATTATAAGTGACTTCTTAGGTAAAAGGATTTGAAAGGCCTGGAAACATGTTGCTGAATTTTTAAAATGTTTTTATGTCTGGGGCAAATTGAAGCTTCTGGAAATGGAATCATAGAATTTGAGACAAGGGGGAGCACAAAATTACAAAATGGAATATATAAACCTTTAGAATCAGTTTTAAGTAATGTTATGTTTGATGGCTTTGTAACAGTAGCAATGGAAAATTACTGAGGTGCATGATACATAGAGAAAAAAAAAGAGTACAGCTAGAGAACATACTGAGAATTCTCACAAGGATAAATCGTTATAGTTGGCATAGTTTTAAGAAAAACAGTCTAGAAGAACAGGACACAGGGATAAGGAGTATCTGGGAACTGCAGGTGTCCAGGATGGGCTACAGTTAAACTAACTGATAAGTAGGAGGATGGGAGGATTATTATGTCTCTGGTGCTAACGAACCAATTAAACTGGTATGAGCATCTACTGCACGTGCTTCAAAGGCTGCCAGAAGTGATGAAGATTGTTGGAAGAAGTAAACGACCCTCAGAGACCAGCACCACAATTCTGTACGCATGCAGGGAACTTTCTGGAAAATGTTGTAATCCATATGTAGCCTCATGGATATGTATGTATGCCCAGGGCCTATAAAAGGATGGCTTGTGTGGCAATTGGGGGGCACACGTTAGGAGGACCTATCCCCCGTGTCTCCCGGCGCCTCAATAAAGAATACCAGAATACCTGCTTGTCAGCTTGAAAACTTTGTTGGCAAGTTTGTTCCTGGAGTTTTCTCTGAATCAGTTTGGCACCCCAGATGGGACCTCTCTGCTCGGCTGCAGGACCCACTGAGGACAGGGCTCCCTAGGGACCTCAGGAATTTTTCCTGGAGGGATCCCTCGACTCATTCGGATCACTGCAGGAACAGACAAGGACCATCTCATAAAATATATTCTTTTCATTTGTATAGTCTGTAAGGTGCAGGGGGCATCTTGCATAAAGACTAAATTGGTAATTGCGATGGTTTGGTAAGTGTACGCAAGTTTGGAAGCCTTCCATAAATCGAGATAGGAAATCTCGTAGGTAAAGGCGTATACCCGGCTGCTAGCGTTCGTTTCGTATACACCCACAAGAAGCAGGGGGCTTCTTGTGGTTTGGGTCCTGAAAGACACAGGGGGTGTCTTGCAGAAAAGGTTTTGGTGCAGAAAAGGTTTTGGATTTTACTGTTATACACACACAAGAAGCAGAGGGCTTCCTGTGGTTTGTATCCTGCAAGATGCAGGGGGTGTCGTGTGGAAATGGTCTTGGATCTTGTTGGTATTTGATTTATTTTGTGGCTTGTTACATTAAGGATTTTGGTCTTGTGATTTTGGTATCAGTGACAGACTGTTATCATTAAGCAGGGGGCATCTTGTGGTTTGGGTCCTGCAAGACGCAGGGGGTGTCTTGTGGAAATGGTTTTGGGTCCAGTGTGCTATGAACAGGCCATAAGGGATTTGATTCAGTGATGCTGTTAGCGTGGGTCCCTGAATAGGTCAGTCGTATCACCCTCCGATACAGTGGGCTTTCCAGTATGGTTCCCACAGTGGGATGCAGACAGGCTGGTTGGACACAAGGGTCTCGTCCTTCCTGGGACACTGACAGGCTGGTCAACTATAAAGGGTTCAAGGAAACCCCCTATTAATGTTACAATATGGTCTGAGCCATAGGGGTTAGGAAGTAATTGCTTTTGATTCTACTAGTATTTGTCTTATTTTGTGGCTTGTTACAGTAATGATTTTGGTCTTGTGATTCTGGTACTGGTGACAGGATATTATAACTGTGTTATTAACTGTTGTTTGTTTGGTTGAATTTAAGTCTTTGTCTTTGTCTCAAGTGTTGTAACTGTGTGGAGTATGTCTAGGGATCCCGCCTGTGTGTGTGTTTGAATGTGAGATTGGTAATGGAAAATCAGCAGAGTGAAGAGATCTTGAAAAAGAATCCTTTTGGGTGCATTTTGGCACACTGGAAAGAATTTGGAGGGTCTCCTGGTGGCTTTGTAAATAAGAATACATTGGTAAAATATTGTAACCAATGGTGGCCTTTGTATACTTTGGAAGATCAGGAAAAATGGCCTAAAAAAGGAACTCTGAACTATAATACGTTGTTACAATTAATTTTGTTTTGAGGGGGCAAGGAAAATGGGATGAAGTAATGTATGCAGATATGTTTTTCACTTTAAGAAATCGTGCGGATTTACAGACTGAATGGAAAATTATTACAGCTCCGCTAGATCCCTTAATTTTGGCTTTGGAAAAGAACAGGGAAAAACTAAAAGTTAAGCTGGAGATGATGTTCAGCCTGTAATGCTGGGGAAAGATGTTTAAAGTTAAATAACAGTAATCAGGAAGATAGGTTGGAAAATTATGTATGACATACAGAGAGGAACACCTTCTGCATCTGTCCTGTCTGATACTGATAAGGACGAAGAGATTTCTGTCACTGGCAACAAGCAGCACATTCACATTCAGAGTTAAGAAGGGGTTAAACCAGAAGCACTCTCGCAGAGGCAGGCATCTGCAGCCCTGCAGAGCAGGGGGAGCAGCTGTGAGAAGAAAAAAAAAAAGGGAAAACCAAGGGGGAAAGGAGGGGATCTCAAGCAGCTCCTCTGTTTGAGCGTGGCAGGAGGGATGTTGGGCAGAGGTGGTGGAGTGGGCTCCTCTTCTGTGGAACCGGATCAGTGTGTGTGCTATGGGGAGTTTTGACGCTGGAAGTGAGACTACCCTGGCGGGGGCAGTGCCATGGGGTGGCTCCGGTGACTGAATTGGAACTAGGCTGACAGGGACCTGGGAAATCTACCCTAGCAGATCCACTGGTTACATTAAAGCTAGGGACTAGAGGAAATAGGAATTTTAGTGGATACAGGAGCAACTTATTTGGTGTT